GAAGAAGTTTCTTCTAGTTATGAACTGTATATTTCTAGCTATAGGAAATTGTGGTGGCCCTTTAATCTCGCGCCTTTACTTCATCAAAGGAGGCAAAAGAATTTGGCTATCAAGTTGGTTACAAACTAGTGCTTGGCCAATTATTCTCATCCCTTTAGCCATCTCCTACTTCAATCGTTGCAAATCCCAAGGTAAAATATCAACGACAGTTGAGAATAACAATAACAACGATAACAACAATAATACAAAGTTTATTTTGATGACTCCTCGGATTTTTATAGCTGCCGTCGGGATGGGAATCCTAAGCGGAATCGACAACTATCTCTCCGCTTATGGCGTGGCGAAATTACCCGTCTTCACATCAGCACTTCTCATTGCCTCTCAACTTGCTTTCACGGCCGGCTTTGCTTTCCTTCTTGTGAAACAAAAGTTCTCTGCATACTCCATCAATTCCATTTATCTTCTGACACTTGGTGCGGTTGTATTGGCTCTCCACGCAAAAAGTGACAGGCCGAAAGGGGAGTCGAAAAAGGAGTATATTTTAGGGTTTGTCTTGACACTTGGAGCTGCAGCTTTGTATGGACTTATTTTACCTTTGTTTGAGTTGTTGTACAAAAAGGCAAAGCAAACAATCACTTACACACTTGTGTTGGAGATTCAAGCTGTGTATTGCTTTTTTGCTACTGTGGTTTGCACAATTGGGATGATAATAAACAAAGACTTTCAGGTAATCTCTCTTTTCCTCCCTCTGTAATGAATTTGAATGCTCTTCATTTACCTTCTCTCCATTTGTTGTGCATACATACCACGCAACTTCAACATAATTATTTATCATGATAATTAAGCTGTCCCAAAAATCAAATCAATCTGGCTAAGTTTATCATTTTAGTTTGTTGTGGTTGATTCTTTCTGTTTAGAAGATTTTTTTTATTAGATTTACTCCTTGAAATCATTGCAGTCTGGTTATAGATTAACCCCTTAATGGTTTCACTATTACACATAGAGACACACACAAATCCGCAAATATACAAACAGTAGCGTAAATTTAGGTATATTTGTAATTATTCAGATTAGTATATGTATGTATTGTCGAGACAATACAAATGCTTAAATTTTAGATGAATTAGTCACATAGCTTCAGTATGATATTATAGCAGTCGAGATCCTGATTCAAACATCATCTAAAAAGCGAAAAATATTTTTCACATTTTAACTTACGGAAAAAAAATCAGACTCATACATAAGAGGCTTGTTGAGATAATATTTGTTCTCTCTAATTTTGCTTTTACATGAGAGAATGTGCGCATGCATGGACATAAAATAGCCTAAATTTAGGTAATTTTTACCTAAATGTTCATATTTCTTTATTTGTATAAGATGGTTAGAAAAACCTGGTTCTCTCTCCCACATACAGACACAGAAAAACTAAACACACATGCATAATTAATTAATTAGATACACTGCCTAAGTTTAGGTAATTTGTATCTAAATGTTCATATTACTGTCTGCATAAGCTGGTAAGGGACAAAGATCTGTTGCTTTTTTGAAAATTTTGCTTTTATTTCGTTTAAATTTCTATCAAAATAAATCCATTTTATTTTTTCTCAATAATTATGATGTCGACAAGGTCCTCACCTTGGTTCTCAGGTTACCAGACATAAATGTTTATAGTTGCAAATTCGAAATACTTTGTCAGAACAATATCTCGGTGTATTATATATATATATA